TATCTGTAATAATAATTATACTAGTATAATTGGCAGATCATGAGATATCTATATAACTGTTTATACAGAGAAATTCAAATCAGTCTTAGGTAGTACAAACTCTAGATAAGTCCTTATAACTATATAAATATGTTAAAATTAAAAACAAGAGATCTATTTAGGAAGACTTGTGTAAAAAGATAGTATAGATCTTTGATAATACTATTATAGAAGCTAGATTGCTAAAAACAGATACTAATTTCAAAGTACCTAAATAATTAAAAAACTCTGAGTTAAAAGTCTCAAAGATATCACTAATTAGCCTATTCAAATAAATCAAAAAAAAGATATTAAATCAACCTAATATATTAATAGACTGATTATAATCCTATATAAGCTATCTGGATTTGAAGTTTAAAGAACAGACAAAGGTATATTAAAAGTAGAGTGTACTATTTTAAAATTATATAAACTTAGTAGTAATTTTTTTTTATATTTAAATTTATAAAAAACTAAATTAAGTAAACTAAATTGAATTATTAAATAAAAGTTGTAAAGTAGGTCTTTCTAATTTTAATAATAGTAAAATTATTAAAATTAAATAAAAACTCATTAAGATATCAATTTTTAAATATTAGAATATAAAATTATATAATAAAATTAACTTATAGGCTTATGTAAATTAACTAATCAAATTCTTTAATTTTGTATTATCTAAGAAAATTTTAACCAATTTAAGAAAACTTTATCATATATACAAGTATATTTTTTTAAAAAAATACAATAATTTAAAATTTTACTATAATAAATAAATAATTTTATTTATAATATTATAAAATTTTTTTTTTAGTTAATTAAAAATTAAAAAAGTTTTATTAATAACATATATTAATTTTAGATAAAATTTTTAAAGAGATATACAAAATTATATAAAAGTAATCTATATACATTCTACTCTTAAAGTACTAAGGATATACTATAAAATAGATACTAAAATTCAAATAAATTTTATAAAAATATAGCAATTAAAAGATAAAACTCTAACTGTAAGTGTTATTCTATTATAACAATATTTAGGTTAACTATAAAAATAGATACAAAAGACTCTGTAAAGTTTATTTTAAAGATAAAATTATTCTAAAATTAAGACAATAACCTGAATATAACTTAGCAATATTAATACAGATGCAGGTTTAGAAGGTTTAATATAGAATATTTAAGTAGAAATATTAGATATACCCATTGATAAGAAATCCTTAGACAAACTTCTTAAATAGGTAATATAAAAAATTATATATGTAACCAATTGTATACTCTTTCTGTAATGGTTTACAGAATCACATTGCTAAAAAAATTATTAATAAAAGTCAAAAAACCAAAAAGGTTACTTAAAAAAAAAAAAACCTTAATCCAAGTTTCCTAATTTAAAAAAACTTAGTTATATATAATTTCTTAAAATAAATATAAATCAAAAAAATTTAATAACTTCAAACTTAAAATTGGTTTAGTTAAGGGTGGAGTCCAATGTAGATTATTTTTTATATGACTTTGATGGTAAATTTTTTTTACTTTTAATATTTTAAAAAATTTTATTAAGTTAATTATTTTAGATTATTAAGTAAAGTTTGTAGAATGGATTTTCTGATTCTAATGATAGTAAAATCATTAAAATCAGTTAAATATTTAATAAGAAATATGTATTTAAAGATTAGATATTATTTTTGTCATATGATAATTATATGATATAAACCAATTAAAATAACTAATTTTGTATCACCACAAGGAATTTAAGGTCATTATAGGAAACTTTACAATATATACAAGTATATTTTTTTTTAATATTTTGACTATTAAATTTTATACTATTGTTTTTTTTTTTTTTTTTTCAGTATTAAGGTGATCTCTTTGGTCCGAGCTTTTTATTAATACTTATAGTGGGTACATGTTTTATATAGATGTATCTATAATGAACTATTAGATGAATGTACAACTGGCTACATGTATAACTTTTCTATATTACCTATTTAAGGAGTCTAACCGAGGGTTCCCTACCAGTTACTGTACCTAACATCCCTGCTTAGGTGTTTCATTTAAACCCTCTAATCTAATCCTAGTATTAATTTCACCAGGTCACAGACTCAGATTTATTCGCATTCAACTATAGGACTATAATTCTTAGACTATTTTTATTCTCGAGATAAACCTATCAGAATGAGCTGTATTCTCTTTTATCACTAATCTGGTTTGATGCTATGGCTGAAACCAATACTTGCAGTCAAGATTATCTCTTAGACTGCTATTACTCTTGTAAAGTTCACCCAAACCCTAGTACCCATCTTTCTGACTTCTTCTTTATTATCCCTTACTAACCACAACTCAGAACTAACTGATTCACCAGACTCCCAATCCAGATGGCCTGGTATGGTATACTTATGTATCCTTTTCCTCTAGTGATTTCAGCAACCTGGTTGGTCATGTGCTCCTCTATACATCTTTGTCATCCAGTTTATCTAATTAGTTCCTATGAAGGTGTTTCATAGGCTTCCATCAGTCCAATGGCATTATCAAAAGTTTATACTACCTTTTTATTCAGGATTTTCAAGTGAGTTTCTGTCTCTTCAGTTTCTTAACCTTCTATACTCAATAGTCTTATCATGGATTTACCTGAAACCTTATACAACACCAGTTTTACATTTCTTTATATAAATGTATCATGTAATATTATACTTCGTATAGATGCCCCAAGCTTCCAATATCAGGTAAGACCCGACTTGGTGTACCTAAGATTACAGATGCCTAAAACCCAACTGATCAGCAAGAGACAGTTACCATAACACAGGTATAAAATGATCTACATTGAACTCTATTCTTAAAGAAATTTTTTTAAGAATTTAATGTATTTGTTAGAAAATCAAATGTTTAACTTTAATAATACTTCCAATTCTATGATTTTGTTAAAAACAAAATCTAATATATTATTATTTATTAACAACAGATTAAGAATTTATTCAACAAATAAAATTTAAAATCTTACTCAAAAATGACAAATAATACTTAACAATTCAAAATATATCTTTTAGTAATTGAAATAAAAAAATATTAGTTTAATTATAAATAACTTAAAAATATTTAAAGTAAAAATAAAATTACATACCAACAAAATTTCATTATTTCTCTTCAGTTGGATAAACAGAATGCTAATGACCTTTTTAAAAATTATTTATGTTTTATAAAAGTTGTAATTTTCTAAAATTTTTTAAATAAAGTAATTATAATGTTTATTTAATATAAACATAAATATTTAAAATTGATATTAAGGGTATGACGAATTAGTGAAGTAGATAAGTTGTCATACCTCCAAGTGGTAGGTTGTGAGTTCAAAACCCACCGATGATAAAATTTGGATAATCACCTATGTAATATATAGATGGTATTATAGTGATGACATTCTGTCGATCAGTTGAGATAGGATACCTGTAACTATGATCGCACCAGCATGACTGGCAGGTCTGGGGCATCTGTGTAACCTATTATACAGAAGAATGCAAACCAGTACCAGGTGGTGCAAACCTAAAATAAGTCCTCAGACTATGTAAATCTGTAGAACTGAAAAGCCGAAACCTACTTAGAAATTCCAAGCAGAAAGGTAACATGGATTTTCGACAGTACTACTATAAAGGCTAGACCTAGGAAATAGATACCAATGTAAAAGATTCGGGCAGGCAAGAACCTTGGGTGAGAGGTACCACCAACCAGGTTACCAGATTTCAGATCAGAGGAAAAGATATTAAGCTGGCCTCAATATACCAAGGACAGGTCACAGTCCTTCTGGGCTATCTGGATTGGGAGTCTGGATTCAAAGCAGGGGTATACTAAAAGTACTAGGAATATGCTGTGAAGTCAATACTGAGGTCTGAGTGAATTCTGTAAAAATAACCTATGTTAGTGTTTTAAAAGTAGGTAGATAGTTAATAACAGAAGATACCCTGCACCTTATTGGCAGGTGACATACTCTGAAATGTGTAATGGCCTGAGAACCAGTACAAAAAGGGTAGGTACCATACTGCTCAGACAGTATACTGGGTAGGTATATACGGAGGATTAGTTTGGGGATTTCAATATGACAGGACAGATGATCAGAAGGTTTAAATAGATAATCTCCTAGTAGGTTATAAGTACGGCATCTAGTGTAGAACCTTAGGGCGGACTACTTAAATAGGCAACCAAAAGTTGCACATGTGACTAGCTGTACTCTCATCTCTGTAAAAATAGTTGTAATAACTAACCCAATATAAAGTCAATAAAGTATCGCCACAAGTATGACCTTAGCAAAAAAAAAAAAAAAAAAAAAAAATTGATATTTTTGCAGTTTCTTTTAAGTTTAATTAAAATTATGTCCAATAATATTAAGTAAACGAACTCAAATAAAATTCGAGTTCTGAGTGTTAAAGCATTGTACATCTGCCTTGTCACGTTACCGTTAAAAAATAGTGCTGTAGAAATAGCAATAGCTATAGTCGACTTAATCTGTTATACAGAGATCTTGAAATTCGATTCGATAAGTTACAGGTGATATTTGCGCACCATTCTATTGGCTAAATAACAAGAGGTTTTGTCGTAAAAATCTGTACTATCAATTTTTTACTATTGTCAACCGAAAAATTGATAGTTAAGGTTTTGGGTTATATTTTATCGATTCTTTAATGTAATGAGTTGGGTTTATTAACAATAAATATCACATTTACCCGCTTTACACGTATCTATCTATTCTCTAAATATCAATAATAAACTTTTTTTTGTGTATATTTATTGTCTGTAAGCTTCTTTATGCGAAGGTTTTTTTCGTTTTTAGTACTGTAATACTAATTAAAAATTATGTATTTTGATTGGTTAATTTTCACGGGAAATCACGGGTAGATCAACAAAAATTAACCAATCATGCGAATGTCTTCCGATGAGCTGTTATTCATAATGCATTTTCATAGCCATAAAGATAATTCCGCAATAATTACATGTCATAAATGGCTTCGTATGATAATCATAGAGAACCAGAGCATAGGAGACGGCATTATGATAGTGTAGATCGTAAAGGGGAATGGGGAGGAGGAAGAAACTTCCAAAACAGCGAGTTTATACTTGAACAGTAATTATTTGCAAGATCTATTTCATATTTTTAATAAATGAAAAAAAAATCCAAATATTTTTAATATTTTTTTAGAAGAAAACGAACTCGCAAAGAAAGTACCTTTTCCATTTGGCCACCATCACCTGAATATCCAAGCAAATTAGAACGGTAAGTTTTCAACTAAAAGTTATATATACAAAACCCTTCCTAAAGACACACACGCCTTTTAGGGTATACATATTTGTCATATGTAATTTTAAGTGTGTTAATAAAATTTGACTTTAGATTTGCAATTACTTTTTATAATCCAAATGAAAAATTATCTAATGTCTGTATTATTTAACTAGATCTTTATCTCCGGAAAAACCACATTCTTCTAAAAAAAAGAAACGTTCACATAGTATCAGCGATTCTGAGGCTTCATCAGATCTATCAGATTATGAAAGTATGTATCATTCATTTTTAGTTTGATTGTAAATTTATAATTTCTATCATTAATCTCGAATATTAATTAAAAAAGAGAAAAAGAAAAAAAAATCAAAATCTAAAAAGCATCGATCTTCGAAAAAACACAAGAAAACTTTTAAATCTCGCAAACGACGGGATCGTTCTGCCAGTTTAAGTGCTGATTCTTCTGCCAGTGAAAGCGATTCTCCAAGCGAAATTAAAAATAAAGGTCGTAGAAAATCCGATGAATTTATAGAAATTGATGAAAAAGATCTAGAACAAGTTGATCATCTTTGGGTTGAAAAAAAAGGTTGATTTATTTATTATTTTCTCAACTTTTTTATTAGTAATTATATATTTCGTTTGATAGTCCTGACTCCATCCATAATACTTAATTTTTTATAGTTGAATTACCTGAAGATTTGTTGAATGTAGGTCCTGTACCTATATCAGTAACTGATACAAAATTAGGAGAGCGAGAGTAAGTTATAAAGTCTTTAGGTAGACATATTCGGTATTCAAATCAAATTCTATCTATCTTTAGTTATGGTGGAGCCTTGTTAGCGGGTGAAGGTTCAGCTATGGCTGCTTATGTTCAGGAAGGAAAACGTATTCCACGTCGTGGTGAAATAGGTCTTACAAGTGATGAAATTCAATCATTTGAAGATGTTGGTTATGTCATGAGCGGTAGTCGGTACGTTATGAATGTGTTTTTTTTTTTCCTTAATTCGTTCATTAAAATATTCATTATAATTTTAATTAGACATCGGCGTATGAATGCTGTGCGTATTCGTAAAGAAAACCAAGTTATTTCTGCGGAAGAAAAACGTGCTCTGATGCTATACAAGTATGCGGTCTACATCTTTTTATGTCGTGGATATATTATAATAATGACTAATGTAAAATTAATTTTACATAATGCAGTCAAGAAGAGAAAGCAAAAAAAGAAAACAAGATTATATCAGATTTTAGAGAATTAGTTGCAGATCAGATGAGAGGAAAGCAATAATTTGTAATAAAACTACATTATTTTAATGTAATAAAACTATTTACATTATTTTTAATGTAATAAATGTATAAAACTATTTACATTAGGCCATACAAACTTAATAATTGGTTCTCATAACATAAAATTTTTAAAAGTGACCCGGCAACCCGGCTTTTAATTTTATTTTCAAAAAATTATATATATAAAAAACATAAAATTTTTTATAGATTTTTTAAAAACTCACCTGGATAGTAAGTATACTTGAGAATTTTTTTTATAGTTTTGTAAATTTCGACCCGGCCGGGTTATGAGAACCGATTAAGTTTGCATGGCCTTATTTTTAATGTAATAAAACTATTTACATTATTTTTAATGTAATAAAACTATTTACATTATTTTTAATGTAATAAAATATTTTTTTATCTACGTTCATTTGAATCGTTATAATACAGGAATGTCACCAACAGACATAGACCATAAGGTCTTTTGGTCTGTATCTTTGGTATCTTTTGGTATATTAGTGAATATGTATTATGTGAATGGTTATTTGGTTCTGATCTAAAGACCAATAAACTTGGTTTATTGGTCTTGGTTTCAATCAAAAGACCCGGTTATTTGCCATTTCTGCTAAAATGATTGTTTATACGTATAATACGTTTTATATAACTTGCAAAGTTTTTAAGTAATTGAATTATACACCGTAAACAATAAAAAAAAAAGTATCTTTTAAATAAATGCGTATAACATTTTGTAAATTAAAAAGTTGTAGGTATTTTTAAATATATAAATGAAATATTAAAATTTCTATTTATTAGTTTTTTTTTTTATTTATTGGAAATAGAAATGCCAATAATCTTATTAGCATTTTTAAATTAAATAATGGTTCTTAATTAATCTTAATAGACAACAAAAATATTCTCGCAAATATGGATATGAAAACGTGATATAAATTATTTTTCTATTTTACGATGAATATAATTAATGTTTAATAAAAATTTTCAGACTATTCGAATAACCCTACTAATTCTTTTGTAAATTTTGCAATTTCAAACGAGGCACTAGCCAATCGTTGTTTTGATGCCCGGTTATTAAGAAAGTCCTCTCTATTATTTGTTATTAATTCTCGCATTTTATCTAATTTATCAATGCTATCTTCTAATTCTTTTAGTATAACATCACCACGTACACTTTGAGGAACATTATTGGATCTAAATGAATCGCGGCACACTGCAATAACATTAAGAACAATAGTAGTGATAGTGTTAATATTGTCAGTGAGTTCTTTGCCAAATGATCCGTTTCTGATGGCAGTTAGAAGAGTTTGAATTGCTTGAACTATCGATTCAGTTTGACGTTCAAGAAAATCCTGTCATTCAATAACATATTTATGGTTACTCAATTATTATGAAAACAATACTTGACATTGCATAAGTACATTGTATAGATTGAATATCTTACTCTTAATTCATCTACACCAATGGCGTATCCATTCGGGTTTTCAATTTTTGAATCAGATTTAGGACCCGCGATTGACGAATTCGAATCATCCTGGCTATCCATGGATCTCTGTGAAGTAATTTGTTCATTAGACGTATTTTCACATGATGGTAAAGGAGGATGCTCTGAACTAAGCCTATTAACATCTTGTCCCCTAGTTCGCCGAAGCTTTACATGCTTAACCATCTCTACAACTGAAGCAGTTAAATGACTCGCTGCTGCATCCAATAAACTAACAGGTGATATACCATATCCAGTCGCGTGATTTTTTGCTGCACCCATAAGATTTGTGAGCGTAGCAGAAAACTTGGTTTTTAGATTACTTAATTTTTCTTTATCTTCCGCTTTCATTGATGAGCCTTTACGTTGTTCATATGTGTCAACCTCTTCGGTAATACCTTTACAGGCGATAACGATTGATTTCATAGCGACGAGAACATTAGCTGAGACATCAGATCTATAAATAATAAACCGCATTATCAATATAAATTCTGAAAACCTTGATGATAAATCTTGTCATATTAATGAATGACATACCGTCCAGCTCTTAATAAATCATCAATTGCCACTTGATAAGCAATAATTTTGGATTCATCGATCGCACCATCCGGAGTCGGGGTTAAAGAGCTATCATTCACGATATCAACTTTTGGAGTTTCTTTGAAGAATGAAGATGTTGCTATTGTACAATATAAAATACATATACTTTATTTAACAATTCCATATAATTTAGTTCACAGATTATACTCAGAGAATTATTTCTTATAAAAAATTACCTTTCAAATTTCTCAATTCCGTCTTTGCCTTCTCATACTTGCTCTTCCACTCGTTCACTTCTTCCGATAAAGATTTAATTTTAGCAATGCCTTGTTCTTTTTCTGAGTATAAATCATCATTCTTTATTGAAAGTGACTTTATTTCTTCCAATAACTTGGAAGCTTCTTTTTGCACTTCATTAGAAACCTATAATTGGGTAAATAGAATGAATGTACTACGAAATGAGTATAATATATCCAAACCAGTAGAGCATTTACATTAGGATATAACCTCTTGTTGCTGTCGGTAGTCTTCATTTAATTTTTCAAAATCTTGCTCTAATTTTTCTATCTTTAATGCTTGTTGTTTGCTTATCTTTTCATGTTCTTCCAGTTGGCTTTCAAGATCGCGTACTCGTGCACTATCACCATCTGAACCACCATTCGTCTGTAAATTTATAAGAAATGCTTAGATAGGTTTCTATGTAACCTGAACTCAAAACATCTTGCATAACTAAAATTATTGTTATTTACCGATTCTAGTTCTTTTATTCGTCTTTGAAGGATATCTATCCGCTGGTCATAATCAGATTTTAATGTTTTTATTTCGGAATGTATCTAAGCATTAAAAGGTATTATAATTTATAATAATAACATTAATATTAATAATAAAGATAGGATTATCAATATACAATTTTTAAACTACAAACATCATTTCTTCCTCCAGTTTGTGTAGTTAAATTTTCATTTGAAGATTTTTTAGGATCAATCATATCTCCCAAGTCAGCCATTAAACTATCAAGTGAGGCAAAATTAACAGTATCAGGTTTATTACTTTTTTGACTATTAGTTGTGTCTCTGTTTCCTCTACTTGAACTGCTGCTAATACTACTAATACTAGTGCCATTTGTACGACGATGCCCAGTATCAGATACAGATGATGTGGATGATTGAGTACGACTCTTCGGTGACCCATACTCCGGGGGCAAACCGTCTGGTACTGGTGGGAAATTATTGCCAAAATTATTATTACTACTATTGTTGGAGGAATAAGGCTTTGGGCTACTTTCGGCATTGGTAGTAACGTTTGAAGTATCTGGTCGGATATTTGGTTTCTGAATGCGAAAGTCAACGGAGATTACCTCTTGTCTTAGTGTACTGGTTTCAGGTACAATAGTATTCGATTCTGTAGCTTGGCCTGATGCAGCACCATCTATTGATGGTTGTTGAGAAGGATTATTGTTGTATAATGGGGAGTTATATGGAGGAGGAGAGCCATATGGTGGATTTGAGAACTTATTATGTTTAATTACAAATTAGATATTATTTCAAATCAAAATGCATATTATTGCATTAATAACATAGTCAAACAACTTACATTCATTTCTTTTAGCTCAGGATAGCGTCTCTCTAATTCATAATAAACATCGCTCGCCAGATCTTTAAATCGATTCTTGGGTAGTGTTGCCAACTTCTGTCGTGCTTGATTCCTTTTTGGATGAAAGGAATCATTTACGGGAAGGAAAGGAACTGGAAATAATAAATATGTAATAATGGCAAAGATTAAAATACAGATTTTCTTCACAAATTAAACCAATTTGAGAGTTCACTAGTAATACCCGCACTTGAACCCAATAGCCGCCGGGATAACTCGTCATACACATCAGTAGAAAGTTCTTGAAACTGCACTTTTGTGAGTTTAATTAATTTGTTCCGCGCATTTGTTCTTGAATCATTGGCTTGCTCTGAGAATAATATGGAATCGTAAGTTCGCTAATTATGCAGCATAGTATGAAAATCTTCCAAGATAATTAAAGAACTGTTTTACACATCAACCGTTACTTTTTGCACTTCAAGATCGTTGCAAATAAAACAATGAATATGCGAGATGCTCTGAGTCGTAACTACTCGGAGTTCTAGATCTAAGCTAATTACACTTACCCTTGGCAAGATGTGATGCAAGAAATTTTTTGAAGGCCTCGTAGTGAGTGATGGCAATTTCCATATCCTATTTTGAAGTATACAGATTTAGAAAGAATGCAAAGATATAGAATAACCCGTCAACGGGCCTGTCAAAAGAGTATAAATTAAATCGTATTATTCAATCAAAAAGGCTATTCTGCCCCTTTTTAATGTTAATTTTGTAATATAAAAACATTATAAAAAAAGCAATGCTCGATGGTGTAACCTAAAAGGTAAGGTTATTTGAAACATGTTTGATAAACCTAAATGACGTTAAAAAACTTGTAGATTGATGCATTGATGAAACTTAATACATTTTATCATTGATAATAATTCAATATCAATATATAAATATACGTACATACTTTAAATAAATTATAGATAAAAAAAAATGGTAAGTTTTGGTGTTAGAATTAGAGGCGAATAAAATTCCATCATTGTATCTGGACAAACAAAAAAAAGAAATTGACACATCTGTGTTGCAGTTTTTTATAAGTGCCAAAACAATATGTCATTCGATTCCATTTTATATAATCAAACGCTCATTTAATTTTCGCATAAATCCGATTCTCGATCGCTCCTATCAGGAAGAATCCAACGTTGTTCCCGATGAAGCATCCGATTTCATTAAATTTGTAAACGATTCTCCCTCACCATTTCATGCGGTCGAATCAGCTCGTTTACGTTTGGTTAATGCTGGATATGAAGAGATTAAGGAACGTGATAATTGGTCTGGAAAGTTGAAGAAGAATGGAAAATACTACTTCACAAGAAATCGAAGCACTATCATTGCATTTGCTATAGGTGGTCGATATGTTCCTGGTAATGGCATCTCAATTATTGGTGCACACACTGACTCCCCTTGTTTGAAGGTAATATTCTCAACATTAAATATTAATCTCACCATGACAAGTTATTTAATCATATTTAACTTCTATTTTTACTATAGCTTAAGCCTGTATCCAAAAAAGCTTCAGCAGGCTATTTACAAGTCGGGGTTGAAACTTATGGAGGCGGCATTTGGTATGTTGGCTATTAAAATATTTAATATTACCCGTATATTTGATTATTAATTATTTTCACATATTGAAGGCATACTTGGTTCGATCGAGATCTTAGTGTTGCCGGCCGTGTAATGGTCGAAACTAAGGTTGAACCTAACGAACGTCAATTTGAACACAAACTCATTAAAATCAACAGGTTCTGGATAATAAATCTTACTTATATTATTTCCAACTTACTAAAATACGATATTTATTTAAAAATGATAATAGACCAATTCTTCGTATTCCTACATTGGCTATTCATCTCGATCCTAGCGTATCAGATGGTTTCAAATTTAATAAAGAAACCCATCTGACTCCATTAATTGCTACTGCAACAAAAATGTAAGTTAAATATTATTTTATTTCACTCCAGATAACAATAACAATAAATAGTAACCAAAAATTAAACCTTTGTACGTTCCACAAGCCTGACGAACGGCTCCGATAATAACGACAAAAGTGAGAGTTCTACTCTAAATCACCATCCGGCATTTCTGGATTTGCTTGTTAAAGAGCTTGGTGTCAAAGGTACCGTTACTTATTATAATTAACATCAAATTTATAGAGTTTAATGATCAATAATTAAATATTTGTTATTTCTGAAGCTGTAAACCACATCCATGATTTTGAATTATGTCTTTATGACACTCAGCCTTCAACTATTGGCGGTGTCTTCAATGAGTTTATATTTTCTCCTCGACTTGATAATTTAATGATGTCATTTACTGCATTGACCGTAAGTCATGCTAAAAAATTTGCTATATGGGGTGAGTCAATAGAAACGCACCAAATATTTTCTAAGTAAAATTTTGAACAAAAATAACTAAACAATAGCTTAATGAATGAATTGTATAAACTTGTAAGTTTATTGACTAAATTTGATTAAGTTTTTGATGTTATTTTTGTTTAAAGATTTAAAAAAATTCCAATAAAAAAGATTTGGTGCGTTTTTACTGATTCACCCCCATATATTTAGATCTTAATCAACTTAAAAGAATTATCGTTTTTATTAATTAATGTAGGCTTTAATCGAGAGCACAAATAATACTGAAACATTATGTGATGACACAAATGTTCGTTTGGTTGTCCTCTTTGATAATGAAGAAATTGGAAGTAAAACTGCACATGGTGCTGATTCAAAACTTTTAGAGACCACTATTAGGCGTTTAGTTCTATCAAATATTGATAGTAGTACATCTGAAAAAGATAGAATCTCTGAGGCAAGTAAAATATTTAAAGGATTGTTTCATGGATTATTATACCTAATAATACTTTATTGGGTATTAATAGACAGCATTTGAGGAGACAATTCATAAAAGTTTCTTGATCAGTGCTGATATGGCTCATGGTATGGTATTCAGTTTAATTATTCTTGCATTGTAATCTATAAGCCAGTAATCTAATTATATATAATTGATATTATAATATTAATGTTTTTTTTAGCCGTACATCCTAATTATTGGTATGCTACTTGTATATATATATTATTGCATTTGATGAAAATATAACATCTGTTCTTTATTTATTCGAACGTTTATATTATAGTGAAAAATATGAGGAAAATCACAGACCACAGATGCATAAAGGTGTCGTTGTCAAAGTTAATGCTAATCAGGTCATTATCTATAATTTTATTACCTATATTTTATAACTTTCGTGCTGAACAATAAACAAAATATTATCATATAAATAGCGGTATGCTACTACGGCCGCAACATCTCTTATATTACGCGAAGCTGCTAAGAAATACAATGTACCATTGCAAGAATTTTGTGTTCGAGCTGATAGTCCTTGTGGATCCACTATTGGCCCAATGATAAGTGCAAATTTAGGATTGCGTACCGTCGGTAAATTATAACTAAGTTATTATGAACTTAAACAAATTAAATCATTAATATATGGGATTATATTTATTAGATGTTGGGAATCCTCAATTGAGTATGCATTCAATTCGTGAAACAGCAGGCACTGACGATGTTGGACATGCTATTAAATTGTTTAAGGTATGTTAACTATAAGAAAAACTTTTTTTTCTACATGATTGCCCAGAATACATCTTTTGACAAATATTTAATGTAGGGATTCTTTGAAGAATTTCCAAAAATTGATTCATATGTAGTGATTGATTAGTAATCATATATCAGCGTTTAAAATGGTTCTATTTTGTAAAATTAAGTTGCTTGACATTTGAATATATATTATATATTTTGTACAAACCATTTGCCATAACATCTACTACGTTGTATCAAGTTCATCAGGAAAATCTTCAAAATTCCGGGTCAGAATTCATCGGAGCTGAGCCGGCATTAAGTAATACCTGTCAACTATGTCCATAGCCAATTATTGACTGAGCATTTCTAATGAATGGGTTATGAATTCATTAATAAAATTTTGATGATCTTGTTAATTCGGTCCATCTGACTGTAATTTTGGGGATCTTCCCGTATAATTTCATTATTAAAAAATTATCCACGTGTTTCATATGACGGACAGTATCTATATTACGCAGATCGATGATCTGGTGTTACATATATTGAAAGATCGTCGTATATGCACCAATCGGATTTTTTGAATGATCGTCGCCAATAAGATCACTAATGTGAAAATCAAAATTTTTGACTACGAAACCGCTTTCTGCGCTCTAATAAAAAAAATTCCTCATGAAATTTTGGTAGAGAGCATGCATATTGTAATCTCTATCCCAACTCTAACATGAGGTTTTAGTACTTTAAAATATTACGCATATTAAAGTTGTTTTGATTTTTTGTAAAGATCTGATTGGTGCATATACGGCGATCTTAACGTCAGGGTTAGATTCAGGAATTATAGCTGATCAGTATAGTATGGTCCTTAATTTCGGCCTGTACTATACTGCTATACTGATCTGCTATAATTCCGTGGTTAGCAGTCAAGGCACGTAATAATTTCATGTGAATTTGCATTGTCCATAAGCACTGTTTGTAGATTCGATTTTCATCTTGCTGATTGCATTGAAGACACATGATAACCAGTCATTCTGGTTGATAATATGTAATATGCACATATCTACCTTAGATTGGTACGTAGCGGTAGTTCAAGAATCCATACAATCTCATAAAGATCGGATCCGTGTAACAATATTCTGAATATTAAGTTATTCCATGATCCTTATGGGAGCCGATCAAAATTCCGACAAGTTAGGTTTTCGTTAGCGTTGTCTATAGTTCTGGTCAATCTTTTTCGGGATTCTATTTTCGAATTTTGAATTCACAGAAATTTTATGGATGCATTTCTGATATACTTATTACAGGTTTCTCAAGATATCATATGTAAATTTTTATTACAGTCAAAAATTCCTATCTCAAATTTTGGTATAAACTTTAAATCCTCATCTAACCCTAATCTAACTCCTAGTGTTTCGCACGATATTTTAAGATTCCGAAACTTCGGATCGGACTCGGATCCATATTTACAGCTGTTCTCTTAACGATAAATCCTAGGACAACTGAAAAAATTTGATCAGCCGAATTCGATAAGGTTTTTAACATTACAGTAGGGACTTCAGCATTATGCGAAATGAAAGGCTGAATTATGCGCCCGATGCTATTCACTCCCGAAATTATGCGAAATAATTATAAATTATGCGATTTTTTTAAATCCACAATAAATTTTATTTATTTATTGAAATTCAAAAAATTTAACATACGAATAAAATTTAACATACGAATAAAATTTTCAGACAAAGCTTGTCTGTTATCTGTTATCTGTTAAAATTCTATTAGATGCAGAAAAATTACGCTCCACATCAACACCTGAAATTGGTAACCAAATATAAATTAATGTTAATTTAGATAAATTTGGTAAAATTTGAAGTTTTTTTCACCAATAATAATCCAAATCCAAATCATTTCAAATAATTCAGTCAAACCACAATAAATTTCCCATCTAGTAATTAACTCATTTGTAGGATTTTTAAATCCTTCAAGAATTTTATATAATGAAATATTTTGATAATGTAGTTATAATTGAATAAAGCAGGAATCAAAACATATAGTAGCATTAAAAATTGAAATAGTAGAATTATTATTAATATGTTTGTCAAATTTTATTAAAGCAAATCTAAATGTTTCTTTAAAAAAAGTATTATAAATTGTAAAATCAATATTATATTCTTCATAAAATTTTTTTATTTTATTTGATTAAGATAGAATTTTAATACTAAAATATAATCTTGTTTTGTAACAAGAAATAGAACTAAGAGTTTATTACAGATTATAAAAAATTCAATATTATTAACCAATTTATAAATTAATTAAAAAATTATTAATAATAAAATTAAAATTACAAGAGGTGTGATAACCTAGTGAAGTGATCAGATTGTCAACTCTCCAAGTGGTAGGTTAGATGTTCAAATCCTATTAATAGTGAAAATTTGGATAATTATCTATATAATATTCATATTATGGTAATTGTTACTAACAATTAGATTAGAATATCTGTAATAGTGGCTGCATCAGTATGACTGACAAGTCATAGGGTATTTGTATAACTTGTTATACTGAGGAATACAATTCATCAAATCAGGCAATGCAAACACTAAATAAGTCCTTGTGGTTATGTAAATCTGTTAAAATTAGATAACAAAAAGTTCATTTGAGAAGACCCAAGTAAATAGATAATTAAATCTTTAATGGGTTTGCTGTAAAGATTAGTCTAAGGAAACAGATATCAAGATTATAATATCTGATTATAATAGCTGAACAAACAAGAATTTCTGAGTTAGAAATCTTAAAAATACTACCAATCAGACTGCCAGAATGAACTAGAGAAAAAAGATATCAGGTTAATCTGATATATTGATGAACTGATTATAGTTTTATATAGGTTATTTAAATTGGAAGTTTAGTAAAAGGCTAAACAAAAGACAAAAGTATATTAAAATATTAGGGTTATACTATAAAATAAATGCTAAGATTTGTGTAAACTTTACAAAAACATAGCAATTAAATGATATAATTCTGATTACAAGTCTTAGTTTTGATATAATGATATCTAAGTTAGCTGTAAAAATAGTTACAGAAGGCTTTGAAGATTTACTTTAAGGATAAATTAGTCTAAAGTTAAGATGATAATCTGAGTATCTGGATATAATCTAATGAATTAATACAGATTTCAGGTTCAGAAAGTTTAAAATAAAACATCTAAATAAAAATATTAGATATAGCAATTGGTAGAGAATCTTCAAATGAACTTTTTAAATAGGTAATATAGAAAAGTTATATATATAGCCAATTGTACTCTTTTCTATAATAGTTTATAAAATTATATTACCAATAAGTTATTAATAAAAGTCAAAAAACCAAAAAGATCATCTTAAAAACAATATATATATATATATAAATAGGATAAAAAACAAAAAGAAAATTGAAGTTTTGGGATTAGTAGAAATGAATAGTAATAGTAAAAATTTAAAATTTAATTTAGAGAATATGTATTTTAAAGAGTTATAGATATAAAAGACAATTACAAAAAAAAAAGATCTGGTATTAGGCTATTAGTGAGCCAAGTCTAAAAGAAACATATAAAAGAAGTTTGTAGATTTAAGAAATACTTAGTTAAAGCAAAGTTCTATTTTAGTCAGATAGAAATTATAATAATAATAGTATATATTCTTTTAAATAATAAGGAAATGATCAAAAAACTATAGCAAATAATAAATAAAGATATATATAGAAAGAATATATAGCTTTTAGTTTATAATAATAGGTAGTTTTAATCATATAATTAGTAACAAGTTAGACAAGATAAGTAGTAGTAGTAGCAGTAACTTTAAAGCTCTTTTATTATATAAATAGTTAATAAATCAGAGATTCAATAATATATATAGAGTATATAATCTAGAGCTAAGAGAGTATACATAGTCAGAACAGAATATACAAACAAGAATAAACCAAATATGGGTCTCAAAATATTTGCAACTAGGAGTAGAATAAGCAAAAATTATTAATACAAAATTTATAACAGTTAGTAATTATAATATTATTTATGTATTGGTAACATTCAAGCATTTAGTTAAAATATAATGTATAGCAAAAATGAAGAAAAAAGATATAATAAGATAATTTATTTATATAGGCTGCTATCAATAAAAATCAGGCAGATCTACATTTAAAAAAAATCAATATCTTAACTTTATAGCTCATATCTCAATAAATTTTAAGACTATCTTGATAATTTAATATTCAAAAAAAAAGCATAGGTCATAAGCTTTCTTTTAAATATTAAATTATTAAGATAGCTTTAAAATTCATTAAGATATGAGCTGTGAAAGTTAAAGCATTAATTTTTTTTTAAATATAGATCTGTTTGATTTCTATTGATGGCAGCCCATATGACAAGACAACAAAAAAAAATTGGAAAGATTATTAGACAAACTTTAAGAATTATTTGTTGAAGAATAAGAAATTCAAAGTATTTAAAAAAATAAAATATAATATTAATATAGATAAAGCATAGAATATGATATTCAATATAATAAAGATGCAGCTAACAAAAATATATTTAAGAAGAAGATAATATAAGAAAAGAACAATACTAAAAAAAAAAATATATATTAATACTATATAAAAGTATTATAGCAATTAGTAAATTGCTACAAAAAGTAAAAAAAGTAATAAGAAAAGAAAAATATGAACTTAACTTAGAAGAGTTAAGCTTAGAAATAAAGAAAATAAATATAGAGTATAGTCTAAAAATAAGTTATATAGAAGGTAATGATGTAACAGATTCTGTAGCATAGAGTTGGTTAGTAAAAAAGCAGTGGCAAGCACTAAAGATAGTTGAAAAGATTTAAGAAAATAAATATACAAGAGCTAAAATTAATATTATGATAAACAAAAAGTATGAAGAAGAAGACAAATGCATTTTATATAATGAACCAAATGCAAAATTAAAGCAAACAAAAGAGCATTTCAGTCTGTAGTTTAAGCAGAAAAATGTAGTAGATGATAAAAGAATAATAGAAGAATTTTACAAACCACTTATAGAAGTTAAAGACGAGTGGTCTGAGGAATTAAAGACAGAAATAATAATCAATAAATGACTAAAGGCAATAAAAAAGATAAAAAATAAAATTACTTCTAAACTTTCTA